AAAAAAAGGAATAAAGTTATGAAGTTAAAAGAAGTAATGCGATTAAAACAAAAGAAAAGGATGACGAAAAAAAATAATTGAAAAAGTGATTTTATAAACTGACGACTAAGTCAACATAGTAAGGAAAGATTTACAACAATTTTTTAATACATAAGTTCATCTTGAATCATTTGATGGTTATGACTTCGGTGAATTTGAGAAGAATGGAATTTAACTGTCGATTAATGATGCTGAAAGATTTCAGTCTATCAACATGATGCTCTGTGTCACAGAGGTGTTTTGTTATGGCACTTAAAAGCCCTTAATCCCATTGACCTTGGGATTTTTGTTATACGTTCTTGGGATCGAACGTAGGTCTTTCTTCCTGTTCTACCAATATAACTGCTTTGGTTTGTAAGCTGCTGATGAGAACTTCATAAAATAAAATGAATTCATGTTATTTTACTTCATTATTTGCAATTGCATGATAAACGATCATAATGTGGTTTGCGCTACTTATGCGGACAGATATAAGTAGATTGTGACAGGAATAGGAATTCGAATACTTACCAGCAGAAGATTGAAATGAAAAGGATAGAAAGGAAAACGGAGAGCAATCGGAATAACAACTTGATCAAAGAATATTGAAGCATGTAAAGGATAATTAAAGGAGGATATGCAAATGATGTATTTACTGTATGATTTTCATGATTTACACAGGCACTGTTTGATTTTCCATTAAATCATAGATTGGTTTTTTCCAATTAAGTCTTCGTTCACTACAATAATAACTATTTGAATATTTTCTAATCAAAGTTACATATTACTTCATTTATAATGTTCATCTAGTAATTTTGGGTCAGCTGAATATCAGTATGATATTTACCTTATTGTTTCTCATAAAATGTCGGCATTTTAATTGACTGCTAAGTGTAAAAAATACCATAGTTTAACATTTAATGTTGAATAAGTGGGTTTAGTTTATTATTTAGCAAATCAATCACATATCTCATTCAATATACTTTCTATTAGTCAATAAGCAGATGACTTCGAATAGATCAGGTTTTTCCTGAAGCTATTTTGAATTTGACAAATAACACTTAATACATATTAAACTGCTTAGTTTCAAACTTTAATTTTCACACGTAACTACTTGTGATAATTAACCGGTTATATGGACTTTGAATTACTACTATCAAAGATACATTGCCAACTTGATCTACCACTACTTATTTCGCATTGATTTTATAGTTAGAGATAGATGATGGCTTAGAGTTGTATCCAGGATGCTCGTTTCGTCCTGCCTCGGACTCGTCAGCTGAACGCACCTGTGCCCCAAAGGTAATGTTCTTTCAGGGACTCGAACCGAGTGGCGTTCGCTTCAAACAACTTAGCGTTATCCACTTAGCTACTGATTCCATATGGCCACTAGCTTATGCATTGGAGTGAAGTTTAATCCATATGTATTGGTCGTTTAGATCTTCCCATTTATAATTAAAACTGCAATCGAAGCAATCCACTCAGAATACATATATACAGTCTTAAACATTAATGAGAAGATTCAAACAACCATTACATATGGATTTTATAGTTAATTTAAAAACCTATATATTATTGTACAGAGTTGACGCAGTGATTAAAACGAAACATTTCTTCTCCTAATTTATCTGATAAAATATAGGAGAAAAATTGTGATACTCAAACAGATAGCTCATATTTAGAGATATGGATCTAGTTATTATTTTTAGAAGCCTGTTGTGATTTATTTGAATTTAATCCTACGAAACGTGTGTCGTTTAGTGGATTTATCGATGTTGACATTACACATTTTGTTTTAGAGTAATATCTCCACGGGTACAAACATTTCATGTATTAATAATAATCACTTGACTTCCCACTAACTCTGTGAAATGATGAGCTAACGGTTAACGCGTTTGGTTTCAATTAATAAGTTATGGATTCATACCACTTCTCTCTCTTTAGTTACTTCTGCTTGAACAGTATCATGATTGTCACACTGTTACCCTTCACGTGAGCAACATGGCTTCCGAGCCCAGTAAATAGATTTGTACTTAGTAAATAATTTACATTGGTATATTTTAAGCGTTTGTATCAGCATTCAGTGGTTCTCCTATCAATGTATGTCCTAAAATTTGATTCTTTAAGATTTATTATGAGTACACGTATTACATTTGATATATGCATTAGAGTTACTTGTTGGCTAAATTTTCTAAATTATTAGTTAACTGATTGCGTATTCCACCTACTATTTATACAAATAGGATTAATCAAAATAGGAGACGAAGTGAACAAAAACACCACCTGATAGAATAGGTAACGTGATTTCATTCATCAGCTGATTTCAGTTCATCGGAAGTTTTCACGTTCTGAACCTTAATATTTGATTTTTCTTAAAAACTAATCAGTTACATCATATTTGTTAATAGCTGAACTGAAACACACGATGTTTCTTGCAATTTTCCAATATGAGGTTTTTTGCAGGTTGAATGTTTTCGGGATAACCATTGAAAACCTAACAGTATTGGACAGCAGTGCTCAGCTACAATTTCACAAGCGGGAATCGAACCCAGGACCTCCGGTCCCAAGCAAACGTTCACGCTCTAGACTTACTGAGCCGAAATCAAATAGTGTAAAAGCCTAACTTCAGTCAATCCACGATATTGTATAGTCATCTTTCGTTGCGTTTGGTGAATGCTTTCTTGATTAGTTAGAATACTTCATTTTTAACAACATAAGGTTGCCTCAACTAGATGGTTTGATCATGAAGTTTTCATTGTTGTTCTGGTCAACAGTATTATCATCAACACTTGGAGTTTAACACCAGCGGAAGCATTCATCTAAATGAAACAAAATATTATTATGTAACAGTTGAATCTAGCTACAAAAAATCACAAGTAGTTTTCATCAAATCATATAACCATTGAAACCAATAAGAAGCTGGATAAACTACGCAAACTTTCTATTCATGAAAAGTACATTATTAGACTTGAGATGTTGACTTTAATACATCATCCAAAAAGATAGTAAAATAATAGACAGGAAACCAGAAGTAGGGCATACAAAAAATAATTGTATTGTTGCCAGTGTGAAAGAGATTTCTTTGTTTTAGTATCCCTTGCGTTTTAATATTACAGTAAGTATGCATAAATCTTTTCACTTTCCTATGCTTTACTGCCAATAATATTTAGTAAAAAAACGTAACAATCCTTAATGTACTTCTATGATATCATGAGTATTGTGTTCGGAAATTGCAATTATGGTTGTAGGTGCTTTTTTAATACTCCAATACTAAGCGACGTAGAGCATAAATGAACAGTTAACTTAATACATATTCACCATCAAAAAGACAATGATTTTTCTCAGTATATATCCACTATTTTTTTAATAATAATTAATACCTGAGGTTAATAAGCTTTAGTAGTCAATGTAGAAGAATGCTAAAATGAATTAAAACTTCATTATAAAATATCAGTAATCATCTAACTAGGACATTATTGATCAGCAAATCGTTTTTTTCGAGACTCTTGGAAAAATGGAGACTTATTAGGTGTTGAATCAAATGTATTCGTACATATGTGGTAATTATATACATTTATATTCAACTCTCATACAGTAACTGTGGCTTAGCTTATTAACATCCACTTTCTCTCTGATATTTACATTAACAGGACTTATCACATTTGAATAAATATTCATTCCTGTCAGATATAAGCAAACATTAGGCAGTTAGATTTGAAGATTTGGCCGCCTAAAATAAATACAGAGACAAATCATTCGTCTTAACAGGTGCTTCAGTTACATGTCTTATGGACTGCTTTATTTTCTATTCTTTGCTAGTAAGACAATGACTTGATGGCTTTAATAATCAAGTCTTTAGTCGAAAGTACATATTCTATCCTATACAAATACTTTTGTAGCATGAGAATAGTTTGTCAATCTGACAATAATTTTTTATCGTTCATAAAATTTAATTTGAAGTTCTTAAGACAAAAATATTCATTTACTAGATAACTGTTATAGAGTTCAGATCACTAAGACTATACAGCAAACTTATCTGTATATCATACTGCTATGTGTTAACGTCATTATCGTGAACAAATTAAGTATTTAAAAAAGTATAGAATTATAGGTCGGTTACTACTATGGTATACTAGTTTTTTTGGTGAGACTATAATTTATGGATGACCTTTAGGCGGCGCCTTAGTGACCCTGAGAGTATCCACAACTTGGACCAAATGAAGGTTATCAGCCAGTATGAGGAATTAGAATTATGAATTTCGCGCCAAAATCCAAAACCTGCTATCTTATACCTGATTGGTTCGTCCATAAATTATAATCTCGCCGTTTTTTTTAAAAATACCGATCGTACTCTATAGTCATAATATAACATCAAGTTGGTTTATGATAAATAATCATAAGTTTTTATATTTTTTGTAGAGAATATTTTTATCTTAACTTTTCTATCTAAAATATTCATCACTTTTATCTCTTCATTTCGGATAATAAAGCAACTGATTTCTTCTATGTTATGCGATGAAGGTGAGGAATGCTAAGCATTTTTATCCGTTACGCATTATTATAATGGAGTAGCTTAGAAAATAGTTCAACCACTACAATCTAAGCGTTTTTCTACAACCAATATGACTAAATATGGTTGTAGTGTAGCACTTTTTCAGCCTGTTGTTTATTATTATTTGAGTTTTTTGGTGTAAAAATTAACCTTTACTTCTTATACATTTTAGGTTACTCGTTATCAGTCGTCAGTACGAAATATGACTGGTTTCTCATTGTTTGTGAATAACAATAGTAACAACACTTTGAAATCTGTATTTTTTAATCATCATAATAATACAAAAACAACAACCACAACAACTTCTACCATTGTATCATCATTCAGACATCAATAGAAATTGATATTCATCGAATTTGTGATTGGAATATATTTACCTCCTTTGTATTAATATTATATCTTTTGTATTAACAGTTTATCATTATATTCAATGTTATGTTCCTTTTACAAGTTATTTTCTAATCATAAAACAATCAAGATTGTTATCTATAACGAAATGATACAACAAATGTTTCATTCGTTCGCATTCATGATGATAATATTTCCTATTGAATCACTTTCTATGCTGTAAGTTCATAGATATTATCAAATATTTTTTTAGTAGATTATGTTACCTTTTTATGTTAATGAAGTATAACTGGGATCTTTTAGGATAAGACAAACTTCTTCAAGGTGATAAATGGTGCTGTAGTCTGGCAAGACTGTTCTTTTTGTTTAGTTATTTTCTAAAAGTTACAATCTTGATGGTTTAGTTTGCATATATACTCAACAGACCATATATATCAGTTTAATCCTCTCTTAGTCAAATGATTGAATTGAATAACTCGTTACTCATCTAAACAATAATCTTTGATTAAGCTTCATATATGCTGAGATAATAAACTTTCTACACTCGTGTTTTTATGTATTCGTCATTGATTGATGTAAACTTGAAAAGCATTTTAAATCACTAAACTTAAGCATAAAAGGCAACATGTAACCGTCCACATCAGTTTATTAATTTTCAAATACCTAATACATACAATACACTCAATTTCAAAGTTATATGATTATAATGGCAGACGGATCGAAAGAAATTTATCGATCTTATCAATGCACATAAAGGTCATTCAAAACGTTTTATCGATTGAAAGTTTAGTGTTGCACGTTGGTTTATTTACTTTGGATAATGTAATCGTCCACGTAGGTCACTAGTTGTCTGCTCGATATATTTCATCACTAAATGACAATAGCTCAGAAACCTTGGAGAAATAATTTAGTGTAACATAGTTGTTTAGCTGAGTAAAGCGTACGGTATAGGTTATATTTCATTAGTTCTTTTTCGGTATCATTTTTTTATTATAACAAAGAATTGCTGATACCAATGGTATAACCATTATCATTTTAACATCCTTCAGTCTTGTTTTTAAATAAAATTGTTGTGTTTGTTAAACACCTAGAAAATCTCGTAACTTAATCATTCATCTACCATAAACCATCAGGCTTGGGAGAGGAAAATAAAAATTTGCTACTATAATCTAATTTGTTTTGCCCATTGGAGAGTATCTAGTTTTTTTCAAACCAGAAAACAACATTGCTCACTGTCACGCTGTGATAAGTGATCGTTTAAAGTGGGTGACATGTATGCAACCACAGATATTCTCCAGATAGTTTGTTTATCAAGAGACTACTGAATAATCAATGTTAAAACTAGTGTTTTTTCAAGTGAGTTTATTCGTATCGACAGTGAAGGATCGCAAACAGTAGCTTGCTTAGTTATAGAAAGTCGGTGAATAAAATCAATTTATCTCGCAAAATTGATACACCTTACTATAAGTGTATTCAATCTTCCTAGAGCCTTTTGATTTCTCCGATAAATCATTTTTTGGTTGATGTACTGGTCTACTTGGATTGTAACCAGTCCTAGTTTAACTGTTTTCACATTTAACATGCTCATTTCTGCTTTACTTGAATCTTCTTTTCAGAGAAACATTCATTGGATTGAAAAAAGAAATAAACACTGAGCACAAAAGAGATATGCAAAATGAAATATTCTTATTTCCTAGACCTGACATTATTCATCATCACCGAGATGACTTCTCTTTTGACAATATATACATACCCTACCTTCATAAATCGATTAGTTCTTTCTACTAATTTTACTGTTATAAATCTTTGTAAAATAGACTATTACTTGTGTGAATCATAATCGCAGCAATAATTAACATTTTTATTATCATTGTTGTTGTTATGTAACATTGAAAGATATCTATTGTTGCCATTTTTGCTTGACGGTGGGGAGATTCTTCCATTTACTTCCAACATTCAGTTTATTGTGCAGTTCTATTGATTTGTTATTATATTTTGCTGACATTGCTTCAGAATTATTTTTTTAAACTCTTGTTCAATGCCAATTTGTTTTTAGATATCTCATAGGCATTTACTATCATCATCATCATCATCACCGTCATAATTATTATTATATCATCATTTATTTATTTAACACAGCGTTTCTGTTTGTTTATTTGTCACACTGTAATTTCTCTTTTTTTTGTTTTATCTCTGTGAACTGAAATCTATTTGAACAATTTAGTGTCAATGGTAATTTTTATCCCAGGTAATTCTCTCCATATACAATGTAAAGATACCGTTCCTTTTCCCTGTTTTCTTTGTTCATTATTTCTAGTCATTGTATATCAGTATTGTTATCATTATTATCATCATCGACACTGTTTATTTGTCTTTTATAAATAAATAATAAAATTATTTGAAAAATTGTTGTAAACTACCAATCACCCTTTTTTCTCTGTTTTATTTATTCTCATCTCTCTTTTGTTGTTGGTGGCTAACATACAATAAAATAGAGCCAAGAAAACTATGTCGTTTAATTTCTAAAGTAATAGAAGTTTCGAACCAATTAATTAAAACTAATGATCAGTATTTTATCGCGTTGACCATGTTTTCACTTAATTCGATGTTTACCGCCAAGCAGTTTATAAATTTTCAGTGTCCATTTAATAACAGCTTTTTAAGAAAATGAAAACTAGTTAAGCAATATGATGTTATTAAAAGTAGGATGTAAAAACGTACTAAATATATTTTTTACGGACTTAAATTAAATGATATGACTAAACGATCTTTTCTCCTATTTGGTGACAGCACGCAATAGCTATTCCTTATAGTTTGAAATTACGGGTCAAATACGTAGAAAACACTAAATGTATAAAATATATTTGGAAAAATGATGGGTTAAGGTATAAATAATTGCAACATTCCTCCCAGCAACCTGGTTCAAATCTTAAGGAAATTCTGGGAATTTCTATTTGTCGTGATTTGAAATGGATACTGTGGGAGAGAAACAACTGTGAGGAATATGCCATTCATTATATGTCAATATTGGCCAATAAATGTGAACAAGTATTGGTCAAAAATGGAATAACAATGCCCTAAGCAACTCTGTTATGAAGTCTAGGTATTAACAAATAACCAATGGGGTGTATCTCTCAGTTGTTTCGCTCCAACGACGACTAACGTATGAGCGTCAATCAGCGGAACTTCGATACAATTAAGCATTGCTCAGTAGTTTTAATGCACATACAACACTTGCAAACGTCAAACTAAGTTACAGATGTCCTCCAACTCAATATCATGTACATAATTTACGGAAGTAATTGTCAGCAATACGATTAGTGTGATGTTAATTTGAATTACGAGGTGATATCAAGTGTAAAGCCCATTGAGAATCAAGAAGTATCATACAGCCGTCTGAGTACATGAATTGTTAATGAGTCACGAATTGAAACGCAACAGCTGTCACATTGTCATTTGAGCTTGAGAATATTTCATTACAAACAATTCACACATTTTTGTTAGAATAAATTTGACCTAGTATTGTTTCTAAACAAAACTCGATTTAAGACAATGTATAAATAAATTCTATTTAAATGTAACACAAATATTCTTTTATTAGAAAGAAAAAGCAGGTTTTTAGTCGGGAGTTAAAGATGTCATTTTTAATTTATTAATTTCTCTAGCGACTTTATGAGCAACCGGTGGTCCCTGATAAACAAAACTTGTATATAACTGTACTAAGCTAGCACCGGCATTCAACTTGGACAATGCATCTTCACCGCAGCTGATACCACCAACACCGATCAGGGGTATAGCACCTTTGGTTAATGCAGAAACCTTCCTTAAACAATCTGTTGATTTTTCAAATAATGGTCGACCGCTTAAGCCACCATATACAACATTTTGTTCATTGTTCCCTGGTATTGGAGCAGCACCGCAAGCTACAGCCTCTTCATAAGTTGCAAGTGTTGTGTTTGAAATGATCATTCCATCTATTCGAGTCTATAAATTGAAAAGAGGTGTACTGTTAATTAAGGATGAATTAAATGATATGGAAACAACCTAAGTCATTATTAGTAGGTTTATGTACTCGCTTTTGAGTAATAATTTGTAGACAAGGAGCATGGTTCGAACCAGCGTGCAACTCAATGGTTTACAATTACTAAATATCAATGGTAGTTTCTTCTACAATCGATTTATAAGACGATGTTAGTTTATTAACCTTCCGTTAGATTTATGATCATCATGTTTTGCGTACATTAATTGTTTGAAATCATTCACATAGATTGTTCCTGGAAAAAGAGTTGTTAAAGCACACCAATTAAAATGAAATTGAGTAAAAGAAAATATAAGTGCAAAAATTAAAGTATTCTCATCATTTTATCCATCATCCAGGTAATTGTTACTAACAAGACAGATTTTCAATCCAACCACAAACATTTACTTTTCATAAATATCAATAAAAATAAGTGTTTTTGGAGGTGCTACGCTCTCTATAATGGACGGTTTAATTGTATTTACAGAAAGATAAAGAATCGATTCATTTTTACCACTGCAATCAATTCTGATTCATGTTTTAAAAACAGAACAGAAATACAACACGAACCCTAATCAGGAAGTTTGCGCTTCTCTACACAGGTCAAATCGAAAGTCAGTGAATTCATAAACTTATGCCAAATTCCAGATTCATCATATTTATCTATTTTCCAATCTACGATAACCCAAACTAAAATAACTCGTGAGGAAGAGCAATGATTGATCATTATTCAGATTCATAACCGTTATGAATAACTTTGAGTTTGATGACCACGAATTATCTATGAATTAATCACGTAACTGTAAAGGTAATAAGAGATACATATTGAATGTTTTGAAGAGTACTTTGGGGTGGAAGTGACTGAGAGTTTACTTTGAGTTCCATTAATCAATAAATAATAATAGTAATGACTATGGGTGATGGTATGCATATTGTATAATGGTCAATAATACTAACCAATAAATCCGAATAAAAAGGCGAGTTCACGTTTTCTCTAACTCGATATAACATTTTATGACATTAGTTTTATTTGCAGTGTAATATCCTAGTCGACATGATAACCGCTTCATCTTTTCCAGTGTAACATTATTTCTGGTTAATATGTTTGTATTAGTGTGATAAGTGTGAAATTTTGCCCAGTATGACAGTTATATTCTTTGTATTGCCATTAGTTAACTTTTTCTGTATTTTGTAGTAACTCTGTATCTTTTCATTCATATGACGTTTATCGACTAATCAACAAGCGAATGGTAAAATCAGTATGTAAATGAGTGTATTTGGTTTAACGACAACAGTTTCGGACAATCTGTTTAAGGGTCTCGTTTTAGAAAGTCCATAAGCCTTCATCTGTATTAGTTTTATGTTTTCGCTTCACATTATGGAAATTACAGTGGTTCCCAACTGTCAAGTATAGGTAGGAAGACCCCAGATACATCAGAAACTATACAAACATAACACTAACTGTCAATAATCAAATTAAAAGTAGCTTTGATGAACGGTTTATTGACTGAAAATTAAGTATCAGTATAGGGTTGTGGAAATTATTAAGTTTTTGATTGAGATCTTGAACCGATTGACGTTAAACCACCATTGAAAACCTGGAAGCACTGGACAGCCTTTTCGTCCTATTGTGCGACTCCTCAGCAGTGCGCATTCACGATCCCGCTCGCGGGATTCGAACCTAGGGCCTTCAGTCTCGCGCGCACTGCTGAGGAGTCCCACAATGGGATGAAACAGCCGTCTAGTGCTTTTAGATTCTCAATGATGGTCTAACATCAATCGGTTCAAGATCTCAATGAAAGTTAAGTACCTAAACTATTGAATTAAAACTTCCCCGTTAACTTTAAAAAAAATTCATACAAATTGATATGCAGTAATGAAAATAAAATATGATTGTTCATTGAACGTGGAGTAATAGGCATTTAGTCCAATTAACTATCAAATATATGATTTCCCTTCCTGTCATTAATATCTACTCTAGATTAACTGACAATGACTGTAATTGTATTGAATAAAGTGTTAATCTAGCTCTTTATTCTGTATACAGCCTCTGCCAGAGAAGTCCTACTCACTGCCTTCTCGTGGCGGGGGTGTTGTCTACGAAAATGAGAGGACGAAAAGCCAACGTCCGGTGCTTTAACCGGATCCAAAACCAATGGTGCACATGGGCTCCAGTATCCTAAAGGAACAAATGGCGTATGAACCAATCGTTGGTCACCGGCTTCCATGGGACTACATCTCCTCACGATGCTCCACTGCATTGTGGACCAGACCTTTAAGTCAAAGGCTCAGGGTATGGCCCCCTAAGAGAACTACCTGCTTCAGTCTGGGCACCCGGGCAGTATCACAGCCCACACACATAGACACAAATATGGTGTGGCGCATATATATTTGGTTCCCTCTTGTACCAATATTTATGTGTTCAAATAAAATAAAATAAAAATCTTTATTCTGAGTCATAAATCTTGATTCCGGTATAATGTAACTAGTCTTATTATCGTATTAATGTCTTATCGTAATATACTACAGAGAGAGCGGGAGAGAGAGACAGAAAATATTTTAAACAATCCATTATATCATAAATATTCCATGGAACTTGAATAATAAATCACATATTGTATATAAATGAATTTATTTACTAGTTTATAATGGAATGAAAACCTTTTGTTGTTTTTTTTTGTTTTGTTTTTTTTTGAAAAATAAAAAATGTTAGTACATTGTAATTAGACAAGTTTTTCATCTTCATAAGTTTATATAAACATTTTTCATCATTCTCAGTGTATTATTGATGATGATTTCAATGGAAAATGTTTAGTATCATTTACCTGGACTTAGATTTTATAGTTTTATCATCATTGGATCTTTTAAACTATTTCATTATATCAGCCTGAATATTAGAATTAAAAAAACAAATAAATTATATATTTTATATAAATATTCTTACTTTCGAATCCAAAGCAACTTCTACTATATCTTTTAAACTTTGATCATTTTCATCTGGAGAGATTTTTAATAAAATAGGAGTTTTTTTCAATAATTGATTTCGAGCTGATAAAACCTATGAAAAGATTATTTTTATTTATTAAGTAACATATTCAAGATATTAAGTAGTATAACTATTGAATAAATCTGGTTATAATTCCATAATATATGCGATTTAACAGAAACCTTTTTTTAAAAAAAAACCGATACTATTTTATTTTCAGAAGGGGTTTTGTGGAGAAATTTTTTTAGAAATCTCACTGGTTGAAATCATGGGTCAATTAAAGCTAGACCACCATGGGAAACCTGGAATCACTGGACGGCCGTTTCGTTCTAGTATGGGACTCCCAAGCAGTGCGCATCCACGACCTACTGGTTTCGCGCGCGAGCACTTAACCACTAGACCACTGAGCCAGCATCCAACGGTGTTAATGTCTAACTTCAACCAATCCACGAAGTTGCGCCACCGTACACCATTGTCTTCGGTGAGTTGATATCTCACAACCGACTATTTTATTTACTAATGAAGTTATTGAGTAGTATAGAATTACACTAAGAATATCTAAATTTGTAAAATTATTATTAGCAATATAATCAAACAAATGAAATTAGAACGAGAAATATAGAAAACTGATGTGAAAAATAAGATTTTTTCTTATGAAAAAAATGTATTGAACAATAATGATAACCAAACTGATAAGATTATCATTTTAATATTTCATATACAACGTCATTCAATGTTTATAAATCTATAAAATATAGTTGACTGATAAAATTACAGTTATGTAAAGTATAAATGTATCTATATAGCCGAGATGAATACCAACTGAAATTCTAAAGCATCGACAATTTCATTCGATTAAACAGAAATAAGAAACTAGTGACCATCCTGTAAAGAGCTTCATAATACTACGCCTAAATAAGTAGAGTGAGAAATTCTGCTGAATAATAAAAAATCAACATCAATTTTTTAAAAATTCTATGACAGTGTCAAATACATTTCAACGACAAATAAGAAGAATTAAAACGAACTAATGAACTGGGAAAATGTATACTTTAAGTAATTCTCAATATGGTATTGCTTCCGATGAACACTGTAAAATAAAGTTAATTACTTGGTTTCTTACAGTATATTAAAACTTGACATGATGGGCTACTGACGAATGCATTACATTCCAAAAGGTTCATCTGGCTTTTGCCAACTTGCGTCACCTGTGGCGAAGGCGAGATATCCGTATATCGATTAAAGGACGAGCGCTGCAGTTCGTTTTGTTCTACTTTACGGCTGCGAAACACGGTTGTTAAGGGTAGAGGACACCCGTGAGTTACTAATATTTGATCACAGATGTCTTAGGAATATATCCCAGCATCTGCTGGGATCACCGGGTAAGTAATAGTGAAGTTAGACACAGAGTATTAGAAAATGATGGTAAATCAGTTGATGAGATTGTGGATCTTCGATGACTGCAATGGTTGCGCCACGTATTACTCAAGCGCAACCACCGACTACCAAGGTGCGCAATGCTGACTAGTGTTGGAGACGGATGGAAGAAAGTTAAAGATGTATCACTACCAGAAGAATAAACTGTGAGAGCATACAGTTTAAGAACATGAATAATAAATATATTGTTTTCCACAAAGGTGAAGCTTACTCATCACAACGAGCAAAGCAAGACTTTCTCGCAGCATTACTGTTGAGATTACTCTAAGTTACTGAGTTATTTGACTTTCAGAGATTCAGTCTGAATTTCATCACCAAACAAAGCTCGAAATTTGATTTAAACATTTATACCAAATAACAATCTCCGTATTTGGTATGTGCTAAACTTACTTTAGATAAGAGATCGCGCAATTTTTCTCTAGTCTGTAGGGAGCGTAGTCCTGGAGTATTTGGACTAGACACATTGATTACTAAATAGTCAGCTACTTCGCCAAACTTCCGAACACCTGCCACATAATCAGCAGTTGGATCTGTACTTGTTTTATTGCAGCCTAAATTGACACCAATTACACCACGGCCTAAAACAGGTTAAATTGAGAAAATGTTATATATATAAACATAATTAGCTACTTTACTAGTTACCACATATACACATCTACTTGATTAAGTCAAACATTCACGTGAATGTTCATATATTGTGTGCAAGGCACTGGGACCACATGGATAGACAGAACTTTATAAATCAAGCAGGCCGTTAAAACAGTTTACAAAATAAGTCAGCATATATACATGATTAACATGAAAACTGCAAACTTTAAACAATAATTTAACTTGGATTTACGAACAAATCCAAAAGAGTAGGGGAAGAAAATCAATTGAATGAAAACTTTCTGTGAATGATAAATACAATGACAAAAATATGAAGGAATATTTAAATTTAGTAAAATCAGTATACTTACAATTAGCCTACCTTCCCATGGACGATCTTTGAGTCTTTCATATACAGCATCATGTCCATCACTGTTAAACCCACATCTGAAATGATAACAGAATGGAGAATGAATGAATGCGACCAGTAACACTTAGGAAAATACAATACAGATAATATAACTTGATTCGATTGTCACAACAGGCAAATCATTTAAATGCGTGAAGGTATTTGAGATGGCAAAAATACGCCGATCAGTGGGTTAGTGTTTGACTATGAAGTATTAACTAAAGGGTTAGAGACCCGCCCGATCCATTATGCTTGAGGTAATCACTTAGTAAAATTGATATACACGACAGGTGTATCTCAAAGTCAGTCCATAAACACTTAAACGGTACGTCTTATATTAAATGTAAAAGACTCCAGTATTAACAGAATGCTATATAACGTACCAAATGATCACACAATATGAGATTTGGGATTAAAAGACTAACTCTACAATATATCTTCATTGGTAGAATTTCGAACAACTGGGACCCAAGAAACAAATTCTAAATCGTGCAGAACTAACGGCCGTCTTATTTCGTTATCATACGTATTTATGCTAAGAATGAAGTATCCGCTCTAAGTCGAAAACATAGGTACAATTTATATTTTCGTCCTAACCTAAAGAGATAATTTATTCCAAATACCGGTAGTTTTCGCTCAGACGAGTAAAAGCATCTGAGTTTCCGAGTCTCTAAGGCCACCACTAATTCAGTTTCCTTTCCAAGTCTCTCAAGGAGAAATACGTTTCCGTGATGTGAGCGCTCGAAAGGCAACGACTGCTCCCATACTTCTAACAACACGCGAGCTCGTCTCATTCATAATCGAACACCATTATTAACAAATATCACCTTTACTTCTATTATCAAAACTCATCTTATGTATTTGACTTCTTTAACGTGCTACCAAAGCTAACAGTCTGTGTTCAAAATATGCCATCTCAGGTCTCTTCAGATCGCGTTTTAAACTGTGTTAGAGCTTATAATGTCCGAGCACAACAGGTGTCGCAAACTAAGACCTTAGAATCTCATGTCATTCTGTGTGTCCAAAACACGGACACAGAACCCTAATACGAAGACCTACTCGACTATTTCTAGACAGTATGGAAAGCAAACTCAATATGCCTTTCGTGTATCCTGAGAATCAACAACTTCTCGTGGTCTTGCCGGTGTAGGTAAAGCACGAAGTTAGGAAGCTGGAAAGGCATTTATTGACTAGATTCCTGCAGCGAGTTGCTTGTATGTTGTCCCACTAAATGAGACATGTTGCTTTAGGAATGTTCTGCTTCAACAACTGAATTGGTGACAGCATGTTTTGAAGGATGCCTTGATGATTACGGATCCATGAAATTCCCACCCTATAAGTGCTCTTCGTGCTTCTCTGGAAAGGATTAGTGCAATTACTTGAGTATACAGCAGCACTTCTCCCGAAGCTAATCTCTTCTGTCCAGCTTGCGTTCAATGGGTTTCACTTATTTTGAGAACCACCGAGTTGTATCCCCTCATTTTTGCGGCTATTTGCTTGGTGCTCAGTTTCCTAAATTGTTCGGACATTCTATGTACTTATAATAATTGTTACTCTGGTTATGAAAAGGACATCGGTCTCATGATTTCCGAAGAATCTCGGCTTTCATCATGAGGCATCATAACTATTATATATGGAGACCCTTCAACCTTTAGGGCACAGTTTAAGTCGTTTAAATTATTTTTTCCGGTCAACGTTTTCTTAGCAAGGTTATTTTCTACGGGATGGAGTTGGTGACTTTATGCTCAACCCTGCTCTTTTATTCGAGCTTGAGACTGGCAGTAACCCTAGCAGGGTTACAGGCGGAGTCGAAATAGTCGTCTCCCAATCAAAGGGCATCTGTGGTGTCTGACAGTCTGCTCTATTGTACTTTATGGCTGTAAAATATAGTATATGGAAGTAGAAGACAAATGTTAGCCAAAAGTTTAGGATTGCAAGTGGCTTTGGAACATTTCTGGCGTTTTATGAAACAACCGAGTGGGCAAAGTTGAGGTTAAACATAGAGTAGTTGACAAAAGATGAGGTTGGAAATCATTGATTGATATGGTTAGGATATATGTTACGTAAGACCGACTATTTCCTACCTCAATAAGCGATGTTTAGTAGTGCAGAAGTAGATTGAAAGACAACAGAGGGCGGATAAACCAAAACATGGCATCAATCCATGAATTAATTGAGCTTTGGTTTGGATCATGTTGGTAAATGCAGACTACCTGTTTCGGGTCCACATTTCAACTGTAACCTGTGGTTGAAGACTGGTACGGCCGAGGGTGGGGAAAGTTATCTCTCCCTCTCGAAATGCTCTCACGTGACTACGAGTATACAGCCACTGCCAGGGAAGTCCTACTCACTCCCTTCTTGTGGCAGGGGTATTTATTTATAATTTAAACACATAAATATTGGCACAAGGACGCACCAAACTGATATGCGCCACATAAATCAAATGGTTTATGTGAGAGCCGGGATACTGCCAGGGTGCGCAAACCGAAACAGGTCGTTTTCTTAGGAAGTCACACCCCGAGCCCTTGACCTAAAGGTCTAATTCACAAGGCAGTGGAGCTACTTTAGAAGATGCAGTCTCATGGTAGCCGGTGACCAACGATCGGTTCATACTCCACTTGTTCCCTCAGGATGTTGGAGCCCTTGTACACCATTGGTTTGGAATCAGGGTTTTCCAACTTTCCACAGTGGACCCTCGATATTCACTAACCCGGTTGAAGCGCTGGATAGAAGTAGCGTGACTCATTATACTGGAGTCGGAGTCGTGAATATATTAGCGTAGTGAGTGCCACTTTTCAAACCATATTCCCAAGAATTAGTCTTCTATCTTATCATTGTTGCCACATTATATCGATCTTTTCTGTTATTATTATCTTGCCATGCTAATTTGGTATGGCTATAAGCCAACGCACATCTGTACCAGGTTCTAAGTTGATAATGTCCGTTTGTTTATAAAAGCTTAACTGTATGAAGTATGGACGGTGAGTTTACATAGGTGTAGGGAATGAGTGAGACAAATAGAATAATGCCAACTGAGCAATAAAACAAAGATCAATACTTACAATGATATTGCTTCAGTTCGTATGTGCATAAGTTATCCATAAATATCATTATTTGCTTAATATAACTTTCCATTTAGAGTTATTCATTAAAACAGACTGAGTAAATCACACTTTAGATATGATTGTTATGGGCTACTGAAAGATTCAAACAGTTACTTTACAAAGTAGAAAGTTATCCTTACCGGTTTATTACCGCTTCTTTCTTGGTCCATCTGAATATACGAGGACGTGTGTTACCTGGCTGAGGATCCGGGGTGACAGTTCCAACTTCAATATGTGAAAATCCTGCATTTAAGAGACCCATAAATGCCTCTCCATTTTTATCAAAACCTGCAGCTAATCCTATGGGATGGTCGAATTCGAGTCCAAAAACTTTACATTTGAGGTGAGGGAATGAGTTTCGAGGTTTATGTGGTATAAAACCATGACTTGCTAAGTAAACTGACAAATTGTGGGCAGTTTCACCATCACGGACTAAGATACGGGCAGTAGGTAGAAACCAATCCTTATAGAAGTGCTCATTTCCAGAATACAAAGCTTCTGCAGTGAACAATCCAAATCCAAGACTTAAAACTCCAAGAGATGTCCTAATTCTACTCATTATTGATAATAAATCTAAAGAGTGAAATAATTTTTAAAGAAATTTATTAGTTGAGTCATTATTAAATAGCGATTGATTCCCTGTGATGTGTAAATTAACTGCCAGTATTTATTTTAACTGGGACAAAAGAAAAATCTTCGCTCAAATGTTATTGGGAGGACTTTTCTGCAAAGACTAAATTCGATTGATATCTAATCTCATACCCTAACCAACCAATAGTTCTGAAGTCATCAACCTTGTTGAATCAGTCGGCACAAAAATACGTAATTTAGAATAATCACACATGAATGAAAGCAAAGACAATTGAGGCAAACCTCTTCGTATTTGTAACAATAAGGTTACGGGATATCTTGAGATGGTATGCAGTTGATGACACGGAAATGAAAATTGAGATTAAAAAATAAAATTCAAGTTTTCCGAAATGAATGACATTGGGCTAATTGATTAACCGAAGTTTTAGAACAGTGACTGAAGGTAATAGCCCAGAGAATTCCTTATAGTTTCCAATCACAACAAGTACTGAATAGTGGTATTCAATAATGGAAAGGGACTACTGAACAATAAGCTCTTGGATTTAGATTTGTCAAGGAAATTATTTCGCAAAAGGTTATAGTTAAATATGATTATGGTGAATGGCCGCCATTTGGAATGACAACTGAATGTCCAGTGTGGAAGTTTACTGTCTTTAAAAATCACGGTTAAAGTATTATTAAAGATAGTGCCGAATTTCCTAATATTCTCGTCTACAAGTCCTCTAGTCAAGGAATGGTCACCATACCATACAGAACAGGCGAAATTTAATTATTTGATCTACTTACACATTTATGGCTCGGGTTATTGAAACTCTAGCAGTCACGTCTAAAAATTGAGGACGGGATAAAATTGTTATGCCATAAAATTTCGAGCCAACTTTAAAATGCAGTGTTGCAGTATTATGGCTAGTTCAAAATGCGCAAAAAAGTTTAAAATGACTTTCCTCAGACACAGGCTTATACCAGGACATGGTAGCCTTCTTAGTAAGAGGGGTGAGGACATTCCTGAAGATATTTTGTCCTGTAAGACACAGGAAGGGAACGAGTAGACAGGCCCAAAATGTTTATCAGATTCGAAGTGAAAATACCCTGTTATGCATATGGTTTTCAAATAGCCTTAATATGGTGACTGGCTTTCTGAAGGACTCGCCTATATGAAGAGAAATACTTATGTGGGGTTGGGTCACAGCTTTTGCAGTAAGTACTGATATTTGAGGAATCGGAGCTTCTAAATGACTCATTAGGTAAGGTACTTCCCGAGAATTAAAGGAGTCAACTAATAAGGTACCAATGGTAGGGTTTGCAAACTCAGGAGTTCATGCTCGAACTTAATATGATCGTTTAACAGATAATTTTATATATCGAAGAGAAGTAAAGTCACTATTTCTTTAAAATATTTTTAACAAAAAGTAAGCACATCACGGACTCAATCCAGCAGTGCAATCCGAAAATGCTACCACTTTGACCTTGACGTAACGCACACTAGTAAAATTAACGGTTAATTTCAAATCTGAGTATTGAGAACAAAAAACCAAAAACTTGTTTTAGTCTATTTCTAGTAGGCTTCTGAGAGTCCTTTATATCAGTGTGAATCAGTTTAAGTACTAGACACTTGTGGCATGTTCATTGGTGAACCTAATTTGATCTGGTACACCAAAACGCAAACTGTGAATCTGTTCCGTTTTGAGATTCTATGTATCATTGCCTTATCTTAATTTTTTATACATTGTGATATTTTTTCCTGTTTTTTGGATATATATATTTTTCCCTCGTACATTCTCGTACTTCATATTTCATCATGACTTAACAGACTTAAGCTTAAAACATTGTCCCCACCTTCGTTCCAACTGATGCCCTTCTGGCCAGACAACATCGAAGCCTAGTTCTATTACTCAGAAGATGACTTCTTCGAGCACGGCGTGATCGACACACGTGCACAATTCCTCACTGTAGTCAAAGCACTGCCGCGCGAATTCAACAGGTACGTTACACCTAGCATGTTTACTAGTAATGTTTCTTAACCCTACGAAACACAGAAACGATCTATCCTTAAATGCGGAGACCTAACCGGTCGACAGAGGTTAGACCAACTCCTTAATATCATTGACCTGCAACACGGTTGTGCGACAGACATGTTGCAAAGAATGAGAGAGTTTATCGGCCATTGAACCTTCGATGATGGACTATCCATACAACTTTTCTCAACAAACTTCCTCAACAGATGCAAGCCGTGCTGGTCTCGTTTCACAACAACGCCGTAGACGAGCTGGCTGCATCTGCCAACCGCACTTTAGAAATCACCAAATCTTCTAATACCGAGGTCTTTTCAGTCGAAGATAAACCTCAAACGACCCAGGATGTTATAACAGAGTTATGTCATACACTTACACGTTACTTTAAGTTTCGTAACGACCGTAAACGGTCACACGCCCCTCGGAGAAGCACTTCACGTAAGCGATCTATCTCTAGACCACGAGAGACGGATAAACACGACTGGTGCTGGTATCATAACCAGTATGGAAAGTCTTCCAGAAATTGCAGAAAACACTTCCTTGAACATTTTCCAAGGAATCGACCTTCAGCTTCAAGAAAAAGACATTGGTCCTCAGCACGAGTTATCGGTAACAACCCTTAAACTGCGCACTAAACAGATAGGAACAGGTAAGGAAACCTCGCTTGGTGACACATCTACAGGTAGGGATCGCCCAATCGTGCCGAAACATTATCGACGCAACGTCTTCAATACGTTGCACAAACTTTCTCATCCAGGTGTTCGTGCAACCATCAATCTTATAGCAGAACGGTTTGCTGACCTGGCATGAATAAAGACGTGAGGGAATGGGCACGCTCCTGTGTAATCTGCCAAAACTCTAACGTCATCAGACACAATAAATGTCCCTTAGGCTCATTTAAAACTCTCGACGCTCGTTTCGACCATGTTCATCTGCTTTTCGTAAGACCTTTGCCAGATTTAAATGGATCCTCTTATCTCTTAACCTGCGTAGACCGTTTCACTCGATGGCCAGAAGCAGTATCTATCAAGGACACCCCTGCTGAAACAGTGGTGGCGCCTTCGTCGAACGATGGGTAACAAACTTCGGCTGCCCTGCAACTATCACTACAGACCGCGGACGTCAGTTCGAATCTGATCTTTTCCGTCGTCTGATCACACTTTTAGGAATCACGTCGGGCTCACCAATAAAGATGCCATAGGTGTTCAGAGTTTAACAACGCTTTAACCAGTAACACCTAATATGAAGCGTACCCAACAAGTGAAAATCAAAAGACAGAAGCGAAGAGGTTCGAAGATATATTTGATATGTTATCAATATATCGAGAATCGTCTGATCTAATCTGGCAAGCGATTGCAGGGGATTTTAGTCAGTATCACAGTTGGCGCGCTTCATGAAAGTTGCGTCGCGAATGTGCAACTGATGGTAAAGGATAGGTCCATTGAAGGTGAGAGCTTCTAGAAACCGCAACTTTATGTCCATTAGGAATATCTAAGGCTTTAAGCATGGTGCACGATGAAGTCACCCGTTCCATATCTCAAGGGGGCTGAAAGAGGGAGCAAGTAAAAGAAAGGACGAGAGGCAGAGTGGCCAATATTCATGAAGGAATGTTTAAGGTATGATTACTCAGTCTAATTTTCTTTTATTAAGGTATTTGTTAAACAAGAGCATTTTAATAGGTTAAAGAAAATAAGTGTAAACAAGTTATGAGTGGACATACAACTGACAAAAGGAGGCGATTCAGAAAGGAGCTGAGAGTATGGGATTATGTGTGGTTATAAAATGTAGTTGTAAAAACAGTATTGTGATATACAATTGACTATCTTTCTTTTTTATCGAAGCTACTGGAGCCCTTTTCATCTTTTTTTGTATTATTTTTTTTTAGGTATCATAGGGTCTTGAGTAGGCTTCGTATATTATCGAATTGTCTACTCTGCCTTGAGTGTGTTGAGAATTATATCAAATATTTTGAAGTCATTACATGTATTTCTCGACCAACTGTTGCCGCCTTCTTTATGATTTATCTTTCAGCTTATCGATACCTGGGGATTGTTCATCTGGTAATCTCCCGCGCGCAATAATCCGACTGTATTTGATATAGAACCAACGTCACCTTGATTTTGGTGGGGTAGTAGTGTAGTGGTACTGCTTCTTCATCACATGATTCACGAGGCTAAAAAAATAATCACTAGGACGGTTGACATTCAATATGTAACATATGGAGTAGGTCGATAATCGTGAACTTAAGAACAGTGAATCAAAATGGCACAGTTCAGTCATGAAGGCGTGGTCACTCTATGCAAAACCCATGACGTTTTGTATTAAATATATTACTCTCTACCCAGTCTAAACATGTTCTTCAGAATTGTTGAACGTTATATCGTTGATTCTCATAATGGGACGGGTTATTGTGTATAATTATGTGATCTCCGCGTAAGTTTTTATAGATTAGGCTTTTATATCATGATTTCATGAAAGACAAAGGTCTTTCAAAATGGCACAGCATACAGAAAACTCGCTAAGCCTAACTGCCACACTGTTATGTGCATACATTATTGAAGGCAAAAACGTGTAGGTATTTTGTTTCACTATCCAACAATACGACGCAATGGTACTAGTGAAGCAAATTTAAGGTTCAACAACAATCGACGAGAGGACCGAGTTTAATCATCTAATGTATGTCAAATTGGCCCAGCTCGGTGTGCACAAAGTATCGATTTCGGTTGGTAACGTTTCAGTCCAGAAGCTTGTGAAAAGGTCACTATCCGGTTCCAAAATATACATCCAGTATATTCCCAATCGAGCTAAGCACCTTACATAAATCAATACTGACAATATGAACGAGGTGCAAATAAGTGTTCAAAGCACTAGGCTACTTCAAAATTCTGAAAATTATGCTCCTTAGAGTTCAGCCGTTTAAAGGACGATAATAACCAACAACTTCACATAACGACGTGACAGGCATTGGAAGTGTCACAGATGGAGTACAGTGGAAGAAATGTATTTATAAATAAAATTAACTTTACTCGACTGATACGTTTCCGGCTGGTAAAGATATTTGACAAAAATCAACTATCATAATAAGGGAAATATCCTTATCAGTTAAACAATAATACTTTAACCAGAGAAAAGGGATAGATAAGTTAAAGTTACTACAGTAACAATTAAGTAAGAAGTACGATTGGTTAATAGTTGACAATAACAAACTTTTACAAAACAATCAGGGAACATGATTCCAAGTTAACCAAATGGAATGGAGGCAATCAGTTCACAAATTATGAACCACGGTACAGCAAGTCACCGTGGAAACCGACACGAAAACGTTAAGTGAGTCGATATCAGGGAGTTAGTTAGGGTTAAGGATTGGTAAGCATCATAGTAATAATAATTGGAAGCAGATTGAAAATGGAAGCTAACGCTTGAAAACGCAAAAAACACTAGATGCAGCAATGTAGCAGTCATAATGAAAAACATACGTAGAGAGACATTCTATACATTCCCACAGAAATGTATCATAGCGGATTTTGCAAAGTGAGCTTAGATAAACTAAAATTCCGATTTTGGCAAGGTAGCTCTAAGATCAATGAAAATGAACAAGTACATTTGATAGTCTGGTTTATCAAGATGTCAAGAATAACAAATATCTTAGCTTGAAACATCTACATGACAGACCACTTGATAAGTTGACTGGGCTTTCAGTAATGGAAACATATGGATTCAGTCCTTTATTATTCTCAACACTCCTACACAGCTCCATACATAAATAAATCATTAACGTTTTCTGTACATACTTATCCACATAAACCATTTTTACCATGTTTCTGACAAAATATGATTATTAGTTTATCGGTACGAGTTCGAGATAAAGCGACAAAAAATATACTTTTATCTGTGCACTTTTATCCTACATGAACCTCTAATCGGTAACATAATTGTAGAGATATGTAACAATGTATATGATCTGCTTCGATGTACGAAATGAGCGCATGATGGAGTCATTTATAATAGTCTGTATAATCATGTACAAAAATGTTCCTTTGATGAATTACTTACTAAAAAATCTATAAAAATCAAGGAGTTAGTCACGAATCAGAAATTGTCAACAATGTATTAGCGGTAACTGTGGGCGAACCATAATAAAAACGAACAAACGACAATAGAAGCACTAGTAATGGAAACGATATGCACAAAGAAAGAACAAGGAACCTGTTGTGGTGTAAACGTACACGGAGAGATTTTCTCTTATGTTCGCACAGGGACATGCCCAAGCGGATTCTAGAAAATGTCAGTGACAGTGTTGAATAATGTATTTTAGCTCGTATTTTACCACCACAACCACTAAGCTCATGTTTGATATTCGTCATTAGTGGAAATGCTAGAAGGATTCGTAAGTCGGATGTGGTGGAGTAGCGGAAATTAATTTTACATGTATGAGAATAACCAGCATATTAAGGTTGTATTACGTCAACCTACGCTATACTATCAGCTTTTTCTAATA